GAGGCTGAGGCGGGAGGATCGCTTGAGGCCAACCTGGGCAATATAGCGAGTCTCTAAAAAATAAAAAATAAATAAGTTAAAGGGTTTTCATTCTTTGTAAAAATCTTACCAAGAGTTGTTTGAACAGTGGTTCCCTTCTGCTAATATTATCACTGACAATTGAGAGTGAGCATCTTTTCCTTAGCTTAGCAAACTGTCATACTCAGAAGGAATATGTTTGGATTACCTTCCAACATTTTTTCCTTTGCATTTTCAATGTTGTAAAATATCTCCAAGAATTTCTTTAATGTGAAGTATTTTGCCAGTCTCACTTCCTCTGAAACATTTTCATCTTTTTCATCACAATCACTTTTCTCATTTGTATCAATGAGTTTGCCTTCATTAAGCACCTGCAGTGCATATCTAGAGTCTCTCAAATGGGGGCAGTGTCAACATTCTCATGGTCAGCAATTTCTTCTATAATTTTATTTACATTGGATATGGATTCCATTTCCAGCACTATCACTTTTCATTTCTTTGTTACATTTTTATCTTTGTTGGCCAAAGTTCCTCTTTCAATTATACAAGTTTGTAAAATGTCATATAGGTTTATTGTTGGGAGCAAAGGAAGCAACACAACTACAAACTTTGTTATATGTGCACAAACTGACAGATAAACAGTGACCAATCACTGACAAAAATCTAAAAGTGGCATGAATGGTCACTAATCATGACAGGCATCTGTTATTTACATAGTGATTTGTGGACTGAACAGATAACAGCTAAGTTTGTACTTTATGCAATTACTCAGTTAATATACCATGGTAAGTGAAATTTGAATGGTGGTGTTGGGGGAACAGGTGTTATTTAACTAAACTGTGGTAAATGAAATTCACGCGTATCAGAACTGTACAAAGCGAGGCCTGCCTGTATTTCCGTAGGATATCTGTTTCCTCATGCATGGAATGAGAATAATAATAGTACTACTATCTCAAAGATATTTTGAGAATTAAAGATGACATATAAAGCATTTCAGTACAGTGCCTGACACTAAAGGGCATTCACTAAATATTAGCTCTTATTTTTGATAATATGTCAAAAAAGAAAAGAAAAAGAGCCCCATGATGTATCATAA